TGTGTGTGTGTGTGTGTGTGTGTGTTTGTGTGAGAGAGAGTGTGTTGTGAGTGTGTCATTATTCAAATCATCATTTATGTGATTAAGTTATTCTGCTTGTGACTTACATTGTAGGAAGTCGTTCCTGGTCCAGTTGGTGACTGTGAAATCAAGAACAGAGTCACATTCAGTGAGTAAATAATCACAAACACACACATTTACACAGTGCAGTGCAATTAATCAAATATCTTCAACTATGATTCTGGCTTCTAATAATTGTGAAAACAATATTATAAATTAGGGATGTAACAATTAACCACGAGCCGGTTGAAAATTGATTCAAATATGTGACGATTCAAATCAGTTGAGATGCTAAACAAATCGCGATTCATTTAGGTGTAGGAGTTTATATGAATGTATCTCTGAGGGGAACTTACTGTCTCTAGAAAAGTTTAGATGGTATTTTTTCTTCTCATCTTGCCTCTGTATAATGCATATTACAGTTCATAAGTGCAGCGCTGCTTTGTTTACAGCGGTAACCAGGAAACACTTTAACCAAACCATTCTGTTTTTGCTTAAGATTTCGAAATTATACAATGTAATTTAGTTTAAAAACTGCTCATGTTGCATGTATGCAGCATCTTTGTTTGGATCAAGATTAAAATGCAGTGGTTGCCTCTAATGTTAAAAGGAAAGAGCACAGACGAAGCCTTAGTTTGTTTATATGAAGAGATTTATTTTATTTGTGTTACTTATTTATTTGATTTGGGGCTTGTTTTAAAATTTCAATTTAGTTTTGTTATTCACATTTACATTATATTTAAATTTTGTAATTTAGCAGATGCTTTTATCCAAAGCGATTTACAAATGAGGACAATAGAAGCAATCAAAACCAACAAAAGAGCAATAATATGCAAGTGCTATATTAGTATATTATTATAGTGTTATATTTCAATTTCACAAAGAAATGTTCAGCATTTTGTCCAAGCAATAATAAAAGGACACATTTAATTTATAATTTGTCTTAAATCTAATTTTGTAAAAAATAAAATAAAATTGTGAATCGAATCGAATGTTGAGTGAATTGTTACATCCCTATTATAAATATAAAATGCCTTTAAACCATGCTTTAAACAGACAAACAATATTCTAAAATATGCTAGCATCATGCTAAGAAAGTGCTAAAGACATGATAATCATGTTAACTGTGCTTGCATAATGCTACATGTGTTAGCAACCACCCAGCAACTGGCTAGCAACTATCATGAACACACTAGTAATACCTTAGTAACCACCTGGAAACCACTCAGAACACCCTAGGAACCATTTAGCAACACTAAAGCAGCCATCTAGAAGCCACCTATCAACCACTCATATTATCCTAGCAACCAGCTAGAATACCTTAGAAACGGCCTAGCACCCTGATTATCCTAGCAATGAGTGCATTTATATCTGTGCTAAACTTATACTTAACCTCCAACTCACACACTGGCCAGTAAAATCTGAGAATTTATTAGCCATGGCTAATGTTAGACATCATTTAGTGAAGATTTAGCTGCATATGCAAGTGATTTACTCGCATTGTAGAGGGTTGCATGGTTATTTGGTTTTATTTGTAGTAAAAGCATGGTTAATTTTCGTAAGGGTATGATTACAGTCAAACACAGAGAAAGCCTTTTGTTACCCACAATCCATTTCAAAATTCAAACTTCAAGAAAAATATTACAGAAAATGAACAAGAATGCTTTATCCATCTGGAAATGATTTGATTTCAACTTCTTAGTTGAGTAAACTTGCTGGAAAACAGTTTCACACTCATTTAATCTCACTCAGTCTGTGTGTGTGTGTGTGTGTGTGTGCTAGAAACTTGCAGTAAAGCAGTGTTTGTAAAGCATCCCTGTTACTGGAGCCCCAGCACTGCACATTTAGCACATCTCTTTGGCTTTGTTCAGACGGTCAGCAAAATTCACATTGCGCTTTGGAGAAGCATTAGGTTCAGAACTACAAACGCAAATAAAAAGTGTTTAAAAACTACAGAAATGGCAGATATGCGAGGCCAACATTTAGACGTCTGTGTTAACAGGGACCTTCCGTTCCGGGTCGCTGCTCGTGTGGCTGACAGGTTGGCGCGTGGAGTAGCATATATTTTTTATAGCTTTTAACTTGTTTATTTGTTGTTGTTTTTGAATACCGACTGCACTTATTGGATTTTATTCAGACAGATCATGTTACACGGAGAGGCCATTTACAATTTGGCTGCATAAACGCAGATTTAGCATGGCTACCTAGGTGTTCTTGTAGAAGATATTTATTAACCAAAATACGAATTAATCAAGTATAACCAATATGAATATAGCCATGTTTGTAATCTACTATTATGATCATGTGTTCCCTGTATGCAAGGAGGCCTGCAGGAGATTTTAATGTGTATAATCAAGTTATTCTACTATTATGAACATGTATGTGTTTCCTGTATGTAAGGAGGCCTGCAGGAGAGTAATCTACTCTCCTGCAGGAGAGTAGAGAGGAAAGTTATTCTACTAATATGATCATATGCTTCCTGCAGGAGAGTAAAATGTGTACATTGTATGGGGGTAGAAGGACTGTGTATGAAATGTTGAACACACCTTGAGGAAAAACTATATGTGTGTGCAGACACAGACTCGACAAATTTTCTGCAGAGTCTCTCGGCTTCATTATCTCTGATAATAAAGTCTATCTTCTGGCATCAAAACCTCAAGACTTTGAATCGAATCGAAACAATAGATCCTTTTGGGGCTGTTCACACTAGGCGCGAACATTCGCGGCAAGAAAAAGTGAGGATTTTCTTTTTCTCCATCCTGTGTGTTGATTTTGTTTCCCGTCGATCACGTGGCCAAAGCAGCTGCTGTTGCACACAAAGTGCTGTTTCGAAAACCAGTGTAAATGTAAACAAACATAGAAGAAGAGTGTCCCGCAAGAGAGAAGAGTGGATGCTGAGCTCTTGTTATCATTGGTATTTGAGAACAGATTTATTTTAGCGCTCGGCAGAATTTTGAAAATGCACTACATCTCTAGTAGTCCAGCTTCTCTCCCCAATGAGCATCTGCCATTAGTTTAGCTGCACCCTACACTTGGGTAAAAATTACATTTTTATTTTACAGATGTTGATAGATGAACTCGAGCCTCCTTTGGACTCATGGCAGGTCAATTGAGGTAAAACAACAAAGTGTGATAACAAAGCTGCTCAACATCTGTGTTATTATATGGAACCCTGTTGGTATACATGTGTAGCTAGAAAAGAACCAGAGAGAGGGCACACACGTATACTGGTGTCTGGCAGTTCAGTTGAGCCTCTGTTAGATGTTAAAATGGTGAGAGTAGTGGACAGGTGACAGTAATAACTCAGAGAAAGATACTCCACAGCAGAGGAAATGGATACATGCATGGCAAGCACACAGACCTAGCAAAACCATGACCCTCTCTCATCCTTATCACCCACAGCTGAGTGATGTCATCTTGATTTTGCCTCACGATGCACCAAATACACCTAATGGGTGATTATTAATATAGAAGCTGTTCAAATAATGAATATGCTGCTGTGTGAAAAGTACAGTTCGGTAGTCACACCTGTTAAATACAGTCCCAAACATAATTCTAAATGTTGATTGTTTGAATGAAGCAAATGTTTTGAGGAAATTTTTAAAACGCAAGAAAGTATTCATAAAATACAGATGACACTTACTTGAAGAGAGTGTAGAACTGACAGTCTCACTGGCTTCACTCGCTCCCACTTTACCCACTATCCTGTAGCGGATCAGGTACTGCTTTCCAGACACCAGTTCAGTCAGCGTGAAGTCATCTTCAGCTGTGTCTATAGCAAGCCACTTTTCCTCAGCTCCAGAATCTGCTTTCACCTGCTTGTACTCCACTCTGTACTTCACTTTTTCTCCAGTTGGGGACTTCTGCAGTTTCAGGGACACAGTTTGCGGCAGGACATTCTTCACTACTGGTGGGGACGGCTTGGACATGGGCTGGAACTTTGTGTCTGTCACTTTCCCATTTTCATACAGATAGATGGAGGAGCCTGGAGTGGAGGGATTGGAGATGGCAGAAATAATGAATCGGATACTCTTCTCATTTTTATTGGCCTCTGAAAATCTCTTGAAGAGACGTAAGTTCTCTCTCATCTTTGCAATGACATCAGGATCTTTGAACCACTTTCTATCTGATGTCACAGAAAGCAGGGTTTTGTTCGCATCTAGCTCTTTAAACTTGTCAGATTTTAGAAACTCTGTCAGGGTTGAAAGATATGGGTCTTTATATTTTAGAGACGTGAAGGTCAGGCACAATACTACATCAATATCAGGATGAAGAAGGATGCCACTGAGCCCGTCTGAATCTTCAATGTTGATCTCATTCAGTGTCTTGCTGTGATTATTCAATAAGTAAAGCTCAGACTTTGCATCATCTAACCATTGGTTAAGTAAGTCAGCATTAAAAGGGGAGCTGCTGTGTATCCTCAGGGTGTCTTCCAGGGATTGTTCGTCCATACCTCCCCCTCGAATGGCAGGCAAGACCCTGGCCAGTTCTTTCTGGAGCACCATCTTGTAAATGCTAAATGAATCATGAAATGAGTGCAACCTTGCTTTAATGTCACTGAAAACATTTACCTCTGTTCTTCTGGACAGGTCATTGCATGTCCTCTCTACCTCCCTCAACCCCTCCATCATATCTTCAGTGTTGGAAATCAAACGTGTGCTGATTTCTCTCTCCAACCGAGCTGCTTTTGTATCCAGTAAACTTAGAGGATAGAGCCAGACTTTTATTGGCACTGCATTCTCTGGATTTTCCTTCAGCAGAGAGGGGAGCTTCTTGTACACCTCTAGGGCCTCTATGTACGTGGTGGAATTCTGCTCGAGATGGACATCACCATGAAAGGTGCAGGTGATATTCTCAGCCTTTTTATTATCCTCATCTGTCATTTTTACAGCTCCTTCTCCCTCAATGGAAAATGTAGGGAACTTCTTGACCATGACATTCAATTCTCCCTCAATGACCTGCTTGTTTTCATCTTCTGCAAATGAGCGATCAAACACCATGAAGGCCTGAGCTCCGTACAGCACAGCCGTGACCACATGAGTTGCAGTTTTCTGCTCAAACACCTGAGGGTAGGTGATCTGGCCCAGCTGAGTCATAGTGAGTTGATCGAATCTTGAGGTTTCACTGTAATGCATTGTTACTCTGGACTGTTGGTTGGAGGATTTGGTGTTACACAGGTACTTGGCAGATCCTCCCACCTCCACCAGCCCCCCCAAAAAGCTGGCCTTCAGTGAAGCACTTACATTCAGGAGACTGGACTTACTAGAGAGAGAGTCAGAGCTACTGAACTTCAAATATGTCATGAGCTGTGGATGAGTGTCCAAATCTTCACTCAGTGATTTACTATCCCACAGAGTAACACCTGAAATGAGAAATGGTTATAACAGCTACAGTATGTATGAGGATACAATGTACAACTGAACTAAAAATGCATCCTGTATCTGTAAGGCAATTTTAAACTAATTTAATATTTGTGTGCATAATTTTATTGCGTCTCAAATTTACTACATAAGTATGTTTGGTAACACTTTATAATAACTTTCATTAATGAGTAATTAACAACCAATCTATAATGCTTAACAGATCATTAGTTAATATATAGTCATATAGCTACAAATATGAGATAATGTGCATGTAAACGTACTCATTGAACATTACATGATGATTAACAGATCATTAGTTTACATAATTCAAAACACTTATGTTATGCTTACGTTAAATGTTATTAAGCTTTCAACTCTTATATGATCATACACTAAAAATGTACTGATTAACAGCTTTATTTATTAATGCACACTTGAATGCTTACAAATGTTATTAAACTGGTTGTTTAAACTGATTAAAATGATTGATATATCATCTAATGCAGTAGTTCACAACCACGTTCCTGGAGCCCCCCAACACTGGGCATTTTTAATGTCTCCTTAATCAAGCACACCTGATTCAACTCATCAGCTCTCCAGTATAGACTTCAAGACCTGAAATGAGTGTCAGACAAAGGAGAAATTTAAAATGTGCAGTGCTGGGGCTCCATGTACATTTACAGACGTTACCTAAACTATTTCTGCTGTTCCATAAGTGCCACCTAATGTCAGACAGTGGATTTACACTTTTACGCCTAGTGGTTAGAGAGTTGGACTTGTAACCCAAAGGTTGCAGGTTTGAGTCTCAGGTCGGTGGGGGGAGTGAATATCCAGTGCTCTCTCCACCTTCAATACCACGACTGAGGAGAGACCCTTGAGCAAGAACCGAACCCCTAACTGCTCCCCGGGCGCCGCAGAATTGACTGGCCACTGCTCCGGGTGTGTGTTCACGGTGTGTGTGTGTGTGTGTGTGTGTTTGTTTGTTCACTACTCACTGCTGTGTGTGTGCACTTGGATGGGTCAAATGCAGAGCATAAATTAAGAGTATGGGACTCCATAGTTGGTCTACACATCATGTCCTTTCCTTTCCTTTCTCCAGCCTGTCTGCTGTTCAGACCAGTGCAAAAAAATTTTTTGTAAATCGTAACTGGCAGATGGAAAACAAGTGTATTTGTATTTAATGTGTATTCAAAAAAATCCCAACAATTAGGACAATAAGTTAGTATGTGTAGAATTGTTTATGGAGCAGATAAAATGCCTGACTCATAATTTTCTATAAATAAATAATTAAAAAATAAAAAAACAAAACTTTATGCTGAAATATGAGGTTTATATTTTTATAAAACTTTTGTCAAAACTTTAACATTTGAATGTATCATGTTGTCACCCAACCATTTTATTTTGTTTAAAATTTGTTGGTTTTTGACATAAAACTTGGTGAAATGATTTTAGTGTATGAGTACTTTCTGAACATTTCCAGCACATTTTAGCAGTACTGTGATAATATTGATAACCATGGTCATTTTGGTCACTATAATCATGATATGCAATTTCAATGTCATTTTCTCGCTAATAAATATAGCTATGTAAAATCATTCTGATAAAAACTTTAAGTACTTTAAGATAAAGTACTATCACCAGCATGGCGCCGCAAATGGCAACAAGGACGCTGAGCTCCGCAATTCTTCTATTGTTTTTGTTTGTTTGTTCTGTGTTTTGTCATTCTTCTTCTATAAGTTTTACCAGAGACAAACTCCTTAACATTAAGCAGCACATCCCAGACAAACTTTTTTCCGGTTTTTGATTATTCAGACGTTTTGTCGGACATTCTAGTCAGTGGTACAGCTGTGTTGTTCAAATGCGTGTACAGACGCAGAAGAGGGAAGCATGCTGGTTAAGCTCCGCGCGCGCGGCATTCGGACTGCACTCCCAAGCATTCATCTCGCGGATGTCCGTTCCCTTCCTAACAAAACGGATGAACTTCTCCTCACCCGCACCAACAAGGACTTTTCAAACTCTGCTGCACTGTGCTTCAGTGAAACCTGGCTGAGTGAAGCCATTCCGGACAACTCTCCCACCATTCAGCCTGCGCTTAAGGTCTGTGTAGAGGATATGAACCGGGTCTTCAGGAAGCAGAAATCTAGGAAAGCTTCAGGCCCAGATGGTGTTTCACCTGCCTGTTTAAAAGTCTGCGCTGACCAACTGGCCCCCATCTTCACACAGATCTTCAACAGATCTTTAGAGCTGTGTGAAGTTCCCTGCTACTTTAAGTGCTCCATCATCATTCTGGTCCCCAAAAAGCCCAAAATCACTGGACTTAACGTCTACAGACCTGTCGTTCTCACGTCTGTGGTCATGAAGTTACTTGAGAGACTGGTCCTGGCCTACCTGAAGGACATCACTAGACCTTTGCTGGATCCTCTTCAGTTTGCCTACAGAGCAAATTTAAGCTGAAGGGGTTTAGCTAACAAAAAAAGTTTGAACCCCGCTGCATCAGATAATATATAAAACATTTTAATAAGTTTAAGCTATTAATTAGTGTATAACATCTCTAAAATAATTTGTATATTCTTATAAAGTGCATAATTATATATAAATTAAAAGTATAATCATATTTGTAAGCATTGTAATTTACATCAGGGATGTGCAAATGGCGGCCCGCAGGCTGCATTGTCTTTTAGTGCGGCCCGCTGGATCATATTAAACCCGGGTGATCAATTTTAAAACATTTGAAAAGTAAGTCGCCGAAAGATTGCTTTCAGTTTATTATGAATTTGGCATTTTCAAACAGCCCGTCTGCTGTTTTTGTTCAGATCAATGCAAAAGTCAATCCATATTTTTAAATGTGAACCGTTGGATCGACAAGAAGATAATGCATTCTTAAAATCTAAACAAATTAAGACACGGAGATAAATTTATATGTTCTTTAATTAATATAACAATTGATTGATAATTGTTTAAATATAATAATTGATACTTTTGACTAATCCCTTCTCTTAAAAACTGTTTAAAGACTGAAATGTGAAGTGAAGGTCTTAAAACGTCTTAAATTTGATTTTAAAAATCCTGCAGATACCCTGTTATATTATGGCACCACTTGGAATAACTGTTTGAATAAGCACTTTTGTAACTGTCCTCTTAGGTTGTTTTGAGAAATGTTCTGTAGGCTACTAATGTCACGAATACACTATCCACAGCCACAGAACCAATCACTCAGCCACGCCCTCAATCACCGGAGTATTGAGCACCTGCACCTAGTTAACAAAGCACTATAAGAGCACACTCACCACTGTGGTTCATCGGCTGTTCTCAAGGTTACTCCTTCAGTGGCCTTCTCTTCGGCTTGGCTAATAGACTGCTGCTTACCTGTGCTCTGCCTACCTCTAAGATCTCTGTGTGTTCATTAGACGGTGGACTGGAACCGGATGCTACAGAGAAGACCATTCTCTGCATCATCCATCTCAGTTGTCTTCACGGAGATACCTCCGCTGTTATGAGTTTGTGTTTACCTTATTAAAGTGATATTTACGTAACCTGCATCTTTCCTAATCCTTGTCCTTGACACTGTGACAACTAATCAAAATAGGACCTCTGTACATTTGTTTATTTTGCAATTTTAGAGACAATGCAGTTGAGATGTTTAATAATATTATGGGGTAATATTGCTTGTCAACTGACAAAGTTTTCTGATTTGAATCGGCATAACTGCACACATTTTATAGTTAATAAAATCTTTAAAAACAGTGTGTGTGGATGCAAACTAATAATTTGGCCCCTTGGTATAAAGGAGAAAAAGCGTCACTATCAAAGTTGCCCATCCCTGATTTACATGAACTAATGATTTTGTTAATCATTATGTAATATTCAATAATTTAATTAGTACACATTTAGAAGCACATTATCTCATACTTGTAGGTATTTGAATACATAACTAATGAGCTGTTAAACAATATATAATGTTTAATTTATTAATGAAAATTATGTTTCCATAATTTTTTTTTGTGACTTCACAATTGGGTGAAAAAATAATAATTATTTTTGTAAGTAGGTAAAGCACCTGGAATGAAGGAATCCTCGCGGCAGTCATACAGCATAGCAGGAAACAGAGGTCTTCCTAGGGCTGCCAGTTCAATGGGTTTTGATGCCATGTCTAGTAAAAAAACAGCAAGAACAAAGAGAATAGTTGTATATTGTAAACCTCATAATTTTATCATTCTAAAATTCTTGTTAAAAACTTCTAAAAAAGGTGGTTAAAGTCTAACAGCATAGCATGGCATATTGCCCAATAAGAGGGTAATTATCGGATTCTGATTACAAACCTGCCAGCCTCACCCACTCTCTCCTGTGATTTGATTTTGTTCCTTGCTGTGTCCTTTTATCTTACACCTTTAACCCTAACCGAGCCAAAGTTGGTTTGACGTTGGATGTTAGACAGATATTCAACCGTGAAAAACTTTGATAATTTTTTAGTGGATGAATATAAATGTATATTTCTGTCAGGACCACTATCGTCAAAATGATTGACACTTAGCATGCAGTTTTGGTTTGGCAGTCTGGTTCTGTTCTGGGCAAACACTCCCTGCCCATCCATGTAGCCTGTCATGAATGAGCAGGAGTGCAGCAATAATAACCCCCTAGGGTAAACAGAACATATAATTCATGTTCTTAATGATATTTAAGTGTAAAAACTAGGGAGGGGCTGATACCGAGACCGATTTTAACAAACACTTATTGGTCGATTCCGATACCGATATTTGTCCCTTCTTCTCTTATTTGAAATTTTGGCATCAAAATAGATGGTATTCAGCAAAGTTCAAAAACACCTGCATTAAATTATACTAGCTGTTTTATTGCTGCATCATCAAATAATTTCTAATGAACATGGATTGGATCCATTTAACATTCAGCAGGCCTACATGAATACAACAGAACAAAGATACATATTAAATAAACAGTGCTTTTTAGGTAGGTTTAACAGTTTTCAGGTACAGAAATAAAATAAATGTAAAATAACACTTCACTGTATAAATTAAATACATATTAATTCTTCTTTATTGTAACAGACTTAATTATGATTAATCTTCTAATTTGTTTTTGTAAACATTTTAACATTTATTTGTAAGTTTAAATATGTATGAGATCTCCTTTACTAAGGTGGGACTATTATTTTGACAAGTTTTCTAGTCTATGGAGCAGCTATATTTTTGGAGTGAAAATGGACGCAATAAACTAAATAAAACATCAGTAAAGTTTTGGTCATCATTCAGATGAGGTCCGCTACACTCACATGAAAGTTACAAAAGTTATTTAGTCAAGAATAGTGTGCAATCTTTTCTTTTGTTATTTTATTAGCATTTAAGTGCAGACAGCAGCGCTAGGATTCTGCTACAGACATTATACAGCTCAGTGCCTTCACGCAGTTAATTAATAAACCATCGGTTTGTTATATCAGCTTTTTTCCTTATATCGCCGATATGCTGATGGTTGTAAATTGAGGAAAAATTGGCAGATAAATATCGGCGGCCAATACATCGGTGCATCCCTAGTAAAAATATTATTCAAGATAAAAGGAGTCTGATTCTATGAAGAATATCAGAAAGCCAAGTCCTGACTGTGGTGAAAGGAGGAGCTGGGGATGGAGGGGGGTAATTTGCTCCTGAGCAAGAGAAAAAGTTGCTGAATAATAGTGACTAGAGCTGATATAGTTATGCCGTGATAGGTGTCGTATTCTTATAGGGAGATGTGGATCAGCTGAGAGTCAGCCGAGGCAAGCTTGACTCACGTGACCCGGCAGAACTAACGCTATACGCTTGATATACTGTATATATACACGAGCAGTCAAAAGTTTTTGAACAGGAAGATTTGTAATGTTTTTTAAAGAAGTCTCTTCTGCTCACCAAGCCTGCAATTATTTGATCCAAAATACAGCAAAAGCAGTAATAGTGTGAAATATTTTTACTATTTAAAATAACTAATTTCTATGTGAATATCTGTTAAACTGTAATGTATTTCTGTGATGTGCAGCTGTATTTTCAGCATCATTACTCCAGTCTTCAGTGTCACATGATCTTCAGAAATCAGTATAATATGCTGATTTGCTGCTCAAGAAACATTTCTGATTATTATTATTATCAATATTTAAAACAGTTGACTACATTTTGTTTTCAGGATTATTTGATGAGTAGAAAGATCCAAAGATCAGCATTTATCTGAAATTAAAATCTTTTGTAACATTATACACTCTACCATTAAAAAGCATGGCGTTGGTATTTATTTTAATTTTTTTGGATATAAATTATAGAAATTAATACTTTTATTTAGCAAGGATGCTTTAAATTGATCAAAAGTGACGATAAAGACATTTATAATGTTACACAAGATTTCTATTTCAGATAAATGCTGTTCTTCTGAACTTTCTATTCATCAAAGAAACCTGTAATCAGGGATGGGCAGTATTTAAAATACGTATTTGAAATACAAAATACTATTTTGTATTTTGTATTTAAATACCTTTGGGGGAAAAAAATCACATTTATTTTGTATTTAAATACATTTAATTTTTAATCTTGTATTTTCAAAATACATAAAATACTTTTAGCCAATCGACCTCTTAATTAGACAGCTGATTTCCTGCATCAACTAGTTCAGACGTGCCACTTTCATGCATGTGAGTTGCAGCTGTACGACTCCATCTAGAACTGGGTAATGACATTTTCTGGATTCCTGTAAGGAAATAAGGAATAATACTGCCTTCGTGTGCTATCAAAATTTCCTACTTCCAATTTCAGAAGTCCTGATTACAAGCATGTCGCATTCAAGTGCTTTGCTGCTGGAAAGAATAGGAATCGTGGAGGACGCCACTTCTTATTAAAGCCAAAATCGTAGATATTTAAGATATTTAATTTGGAATAAAATGTAGCATCCCATTCGTTGACAACTATATAAACATTCACAAATCTTTATAGTTAGCTTGTTGTTGATTCTGGATTTTCAGTCAAATACATGCTGTTTTGCTGTGTAGAAAACATACAAAATGCTTGAAATGGTTATTGCACTACTATGTGCATGACTTTAACATTAAAACAAGGTGATCTTGATTTTGTGGGAAAAAGCATACCTGTCCCAGCAGAATATGTTTTCCTCTCCACCATATTTAAAGTTTATGGCCTGCACAACTCAGAAACTTGGGTATAAAAATTATAGTAGAAAGTAGAAAATATGACAAAGGCATTCATGTCCAACTTACAACTAGAAAAGTCATATTTAAAAAATAAATAAATAAAAATAAACAAATGGGATAGCCTGTGAAGGCAGCATGAGATAAGGTGAGGATGTCATGGTCGGTTGTACTTGTAGATTAAGGTTAAAATGGAACACCATTCAGATTTGCATTTAGTTAGCAATAGCATGAAGGGAAAAAAGAGCGCTTGCTATGGCGATATGACAGAATATATGTCAGTGATGATATAAAGTGTAAAACGATTGAACTTTTTCTATATCATTTATATATCGTCGTGGTATGCAAATATATCTGTGGAGCTTTTAGTGGGCAGTAGCTATTGACATGTCAGAGCGATAAAGAAACATGGATAAATGAGTAATAAGCAGCATTCTCTGTGTGTGTACCCCAAGACAAAGATAACTATAATGCTAATAATAAAGACATAAAGTTCAAAAAATTGTTCTAAGGGCATACTCACACTAGGCACAGTTGCCTTGTAAAGCCTAAGCGTGATTGTCCTCTCTCTAACAGACAGATATCAGAGGATTATTACGGAGACAGCTGAGGTTAAAGGGGTCATATGATGCTTTTTTAAAGATCATTATTTTGTGTATTTGGTGTAACAGAATATGTTGACATGCTTTAATGTTCAAAAAACACATTATTCTTCAAATACAGTACATTATTGTAGGTCCATTTCAAACACATACCATGAAGCTGGTATGTGTTTGTGATGTGACCCTCTCTCTCACACACACACACACACACACACACGATGTGCAAAACTCCACATTTGAACAGTCAATAGCAAATACTTAAACTAGTAACAAAACAGTAGCTGATTCAGAAGCGCCAGATTGTCATAGCAAAGTCAGAATGACCTCCTCTCCTAGGTTCACGAAACGGTCGTCCATAAAATGCATTGCTGTTCTGTTGTAAGTGATCTTAAAGATTCCTAAATGCATCTACTTCCGGAAGGCCAAATAAAGTGCTTTTGCTTTCTCCTAGAAACACACAGCGTCTCCCTGACATGCTGCTTCAACACTAACTGCGGTTACTGAAACCACGCCTTCTTTCTTTGCGTGCACATTTGGGCCGCATTATGCTAATATTTCCACATAGTGAGGTAGATATGTGGGGGCGTGTTAGAACGAGCCGTTTTAGGGGGGCGTGGCAGAGTCTTAACTTTGATAAAGAGTATCTCTTTGGTTTTGAGAATTTAGTCTTTGCAACTTCAGGGATCTTATTTGTTCAGATAGTGAATTGGTGGGTTTTTGTTAAATATTAGCCAAAATCATCACAATTTAAAAAAACCAAAGACTTAAACTACTTCAGTCTGTGTGCATTGAATTTATTTAATACATGAGTTTCACAATTTGAGTTGAATTACTGAAATAAATGAACTTTTCCACGACATTCTAATTTATTGAGATGCACCTGTACATGCGTACCGCACCAGAGCCACCTCTTCAAGCGGGTCAGGGCATGGTTAAACCAACCGCACTGGACACGGTACAGAGCAGTCACACTTGTGAAATGAACTGGACTTTGGGGGTCAATCGTGCTCAAGCATGGATCTAGTGTGAGTACATCCTAAATCTAAGTGAATATCAGATAGCACACCACAACTATAACCTATGAGCCTATGATCGACAGACTCTTCTGGACATTCGAAATCGAACTATGGCTGCTTTTGATGCGAAATTGGGAAATTTCGCTGATAACACATCTGGGAGTACTATACGAGATATTCCGGACTTTCTTCGGCGTTGGCCGCTGGATGTTACTGCAAGGAAACGACGGCGCCGACGCAGCAAGCATGGCGGCATGATTGTGAGACTAAAACTCCATTGCGAGCCGGATCGTCCCTAAACCTCACGCTAAGGCCGGGGATGGACTTGAGCCACTTCACGGTCCGCCACCCTT